AGTTGAATCTGTATGTAAGTCAGAACTGGCGGTCAGTTTCAGCAGCGGCTGAATCTGGATGCCAGTTCCGACTTACATACAGATTCAACTTAAGAACAAACCTACAGTCCCTATCTTGTACGTAACCTGGGGACTGCCTGTATGTCTACACTACGGGATAAACTTGAATGAAGAGACACAACTTCAGCTACATTAATTGCATAGCTGAAGTCAAAGTACCTTAACTTTACTTTTGGCACTGTCCACACTGCAGGAAGTCCAAGGGAGAACATTCTTCCTTTTATTTTTCTTACTTCTTGTAGAATCACGACTACCAGTATCAAGCGGAGTGGTCATCTCAGTTTGAATTAGTGTGTCTTCACTAGTCCTGCTAATTTGAACCCTGAAAGATCAATAGCTTCAATCTTCTCAGTAGTGTAGACATACCCTTAATTATTTTTAACCTGATGTTGGGCTTTTTACTACATATTTTTCAAATTAGTTTCTAAGGCAGTAGCTTGGGTCGTGCTCTGTGCTGTTCCTGGGCAAAGTTTCTAGTCAGTGCCTTGCAGTCAGGTAACCCTGTGCCTAGCTTGGCCTCTGCAGAACCAGGGGTAGCATGAAAAACTTAAAAAACAACTAATAGTCTAGCCCAGGAAAGCTCATGACACCAACTACATGTTTTGTTAGTCTCTAAGGTGCTGCTAGACTATTGGGTTTTTTAAGTTTTTTTCAGTTACAGACTAACTTGGCTACCCCTCTGAAGACCCAAGGCCAGCCGAGATCTGGATGCAAGGCTGCAGTGGCTGCCCAGCAGCTCCCTGGGAGCCTGAGCCTGTGGAGGGCTCAATAGCCCAGCCTGGGGCCCATTGTTCCCTAGGGGCAGAATGTTGCGCGCGCACTTCTTTTCGCAGGAGAGGCGTTTGCTGCAGCTTTCCCCGCCGCAGTTCCGTCTTGCCCTGAACTGGTTAACTCAGGGTGGCTGGGGCTGCCAGGCTCCGCCCTCTGCACGCGTCTCTACGGGTTCCAGCGCTACTGGCCGGACCCGGAGGTCTGCGCGTGCGCAGAAGCACCGGAAGGCAAGCAGTGTTGCAACTGAAAGTCGGGCGCGTGGAGGAGCCAGCTCTGCGCAACTCTCGGGGTGAGTGGATTATGGAGCGCGCGCGGCTCCCGCTGGCCACCTGTCGCCGCGTGCTCGGCCG